TTTCACTTTATGTATCTTTATACAATGTTTACTACTTTGCTTATGAGGACAGACAGCCTTATTTACAGATTCTTGACATTCAATTGTAATTTCATTTGTAAATAGTTACATTCATGTGGATTTATCCAGTTTGCACATTTGTATGCATGCACTTATAGGTGCATTTGTTGTTGTTGAAGGCCTGGCTGTTAGTCTTTATTTACACTATTTTGTTGTAGGCCTACTGGCCTAGATGTTTATGCCGTTTTAAAGCACCTTGGCTTTGTTCTGAATGCACTTTGTTGTAGTTATTCTACAGAGAAAAGAAAATGCACTTGACTTGGAATTAATGTACTGTATGCATTCAAAAGTGCTGAATAAATGTTTTATGGACCCATAATAGTGATTATTATTTAAGTTAAGTTTTGCCATAATCATTTTTCTTTCCATAATCAGGCAGCTGAACAATATTGGTAAAAAATGTATACATTATATATATATATATATTTCTATTAATCATTTTCGGCCTTTCGGCATTCGGTTTTCTGCCAACTGTTTCCTATTTTCGGTATCGGTTTCGGCCAAGAATTTCCCATTCGGTGCACCCCTAATATTTTTACAGTATTTTATTATGGTAATTCTATTATCCTGTTTTTATACACGCAATAGCCTTTTGGTATTGTCAGTTTGGACCAAATTTAGATACTAGAAATACTGTGTAGAGTGAAGTACTGCATTATACCATATCAGTATATGTGTTACTATGTGTACAAAGGAATTAGTAACTGTGTTAAAATAAATGAAGCGTAGTAAAAAGTATGATTTGCCTCTAAAAATGTATTCGAATAGAAGTATAAAGTAGCATTAAATGGAAATAATCAAGTAAAAGTACAAATGTAAAAAAATACTCAAGTACAATACGTGAGTAAATGTACTTAGTTACTTTCCACCACTGGTCTTCTTAAGGATTACAGGAGCTGCTCTTCAAGTGTGTAAGGCATCTTTATTCAAGCTGGTACCATATTATACAACAATACTTTGCAGATGGGGCTGGACCGCATCATCATTGGAATACATTCAGTTTCATTCAGCTCAAATGAAGCAACTGCTCATGTCAGAAAATGCTGGAATACTTCCTGTATTAAAATGTCCCAGTCACAGGTTTGATTTGATCAAGATATGCTGTGATAACATTTCATACATCAATATGAATGACTTAACATTGGCACAGAACGGTCTGACAGCGCCCTCTGCTGGCACTGTATTGTTGCATCAGCCCAGTGCACGTCCAGCCGTAGAATCAGTTTAAAATGAAACACTAATTGTCCTCTTCATCCACCCGAACACTTTAAAATGGCGGGTTAGTTCTGTGCTTCAATCATCAGCTTGCCTCTGAGGAGAAGCTGCTCTCGCCACAACAGGTGAGCCGCAGACTCCGCAGCAGGTAGACAGAGATCCTTCAGCCTTCACGGACTTTGGCAGCAAGAGCAGAGTTCTCCTGTCGAATGGCCTTGTAGTCGCTCAGAATCCTCTCGAGGTTGGCCACAGTTTTACTGCCGTTTTCAGTCTCAATCTGTGCACAAGGTTCAATTAATCATTCTGGATATAAACTGCATTTTGGCAAATACATGTTAATTGCATTCATGTGTCCTGTCCATAGATACTTAAGGATCCCCTGAGAAAAACTCCCTGATCCAAAAACATGATTTAGTCCGCTTAAGAAAGGTCAATGTTAGAAGGATTAATCAATGACCAATGACTAAAGTTATTGATTGCAAAATTATGATTTGGAGACCGAATGTTTTTCTTTGGCACTGTCAATCAAATCATTTTTCAGAAATAAGTCCAATCAGTTTACACAGAGTGAGTGGAATATGTTGGTAGAAGGATTTCAGCGTTGTGTTTTTACATTGTGGTGAATCTCTACATACAGCGTTAGGATGTGCAAACTATTTTGCTGGAAAAATAAAGTCAGATTCTTGTTGTGATGAAAGAGTGTGTTCTGGGAGTTTCAGAAGATGGGAAGGTGTTGGCACGGTGTATGTGTAGAGTAGAACGACGTGTCCTATAGTTAAGTATCCTGTAACAGGAATTGTGGACAACAAAAACAATGTGTCTACGTTCTATTAGCAGAAACCAAGAGGCAGGCGGAAAATGTCCTGCTTTAAAGCCATCACAGAGACACTGTTAACAGCTGTGTCTGAAGACTGACATACTTTCAGATCAGTATGTTGTACTTATTTTGGTGTTTCTACTGTAACAACCAAATGAAAACAAAACAATTAAAGAGGGAGAAATCAATTAAATATCTGATGCCACCTGCACCTTTTGATAGAGAACTGCTTCCGTCTCTATGCTAAGCTAGGATTAGGGTCCAGTCTGTGATGGCCAGATGGAACTTGCAGCAGTGATGTGATGCAGTGTAGTTCCTACCTGCTCCTCTAGATCTCGAATCTCCCTCAGGATTGTCCCGGTGTACTCGATGGTCTGGATCAACTGATTACAGTTCTGTAGAAACATGAACAGATGACACGTTACACCTTCACTGATGAGAGCAACGGAAGAGAGCAAACCAGATGACGTGAGGACGTACTTCATGCAGGGCAGCCAGGTACTTGTAGGATTTGCGGACGGATTCATCTTTTTTGGCGTCCTTTAGATGAAAAAATGAATTAATACATGGAAAATGATCTAGTACTAACATACAGTATATATTGAAAACAACCATTTCAAGAATTCTCTTTTTTAAGAGTATTTAGTCAGCCACCAATTGTGCAAGTTCTCCCACTTAAAAAAATGAGAGGCCTGTAATTTTCATCCTAGGTATACCTCAACTATGAGAGACAAAATGAGAAAAAAAAAATCCAGAAAGTCACATTTTGTCTGATTTTTAAAGAATTTATTTGCAAATTATGGTGGAAAATAAGTATTTGGTCACCTACAAACAAACAAGATTTCTGGCTCTCACAGACCTGTAACTTCTTCTTTAACCTCT